ACCACAAAATTCACCAAGTGAAAGCCTATGGATGTATACGTTTTAGTATATTCACAAGGTTGTGTAACCATCACCACTGTATAATTCCAGAACATTTTCATCATCAACCCAAAAAAGAAACACTGTTTCTATCAGGAGTCATTCCTCAATCTCCCCATTCTCCAACCTGTGGCAACCATTAATCCAGTTTTTGTCTCTGTGATTTGCCTATTCTGGATATTTCACATAAACGGAATTATACAATACATGGTCTTTTTGTCTGGCTTCTTTCACTAAGCATCTTTTCAAGGTTCATCTGTGGTGTAGCCTGTATCAGTATTTCATTCCTTTTTATGACTAAATAATATTCCATTGTATGGATATACATTTTATTTATCCATCTCTTGGTTGATGGACATTTTGATTTTTTTCTGCGTATTGGCTAGTATGAACATTCACAAGTACAAGTTTTTGTGCGGACGTATGGTTTTTGTTTCTCTTAAGTCTATGCCTAGGAGTGAGCAAAACTTCAAGACTATTTTCCAACACAGACATCCCCACCAGCGGTGTCTGAGAGTTCCAACTTCTCCACATTTTCACTAAAACTTATTATCTGCCTTTTTTATTATAATTCTCCTAATGGTTGTGAAGTGGTATCTCACTGTGGTTTTGATTTGCATTTGCCTATTGGTTAACTGATGCTGAGCATCTTTTCCTGTGCTTATTGGTCATTTGTGGATCTTCTCTGGAGAAATGTCTATTCAGATCCTTTGCACATGTGTTCACTGGGTTATCTTTTTATTTCGTTTTTTTTTTTTTGTAAACTGCCCAGTTTATTATTATTATCATATTTTTAGATGGCTACAAAGACAGCATGAGACCTCACACCTAGACTAGCTTTCCTGGTGGAAGGGCTTGGGTACAGACAGACAGCAGGGTTTCATTTTTTTTTTTTTTTTTTTTTTTTTTTTTTTAAAAGAAAGCAAAGAGGTTGACTGAGGTGGGGTGAGGGGGGCTTGCTAGAAGCTTCCATTTTTAAAAATTTTCCCCCAAAAAAACCCCCCTGAAAACAAATTAAAAAATCCCAATAACGGTAAAACCCCAAACAAACAAAAAAAAAAAGTGTCACGTACATAAAAGGTCCTTTTGGGAATGGGCAAGGGGTGGGATTTTTCTGGTCACTGACTTGAAATATATTTTTATTTTGAGTTTTGTCCTTCATGTTTTATGGAATAAAAAGTTCGGCCTTTTTATTGCATGAAACTAAAACTGGGACAGGTGGGGGGACTGGAGGAGGAGGGTGGGGGCTGAGGGGGAGCAGGGAAACGCCCCTCCCCCAGCTCCTGGGTAATGACACCTCACTTCTTCTTGCATAATTTCTGGCATCTTCCTGCCTGAAATGCCGGCTCTCTCAGTGTCTCGGAGAAGAGGAGGGGATCACACGCTCATCGTCATGCTTGGAGAATAATTGTCATTCTGGAAGGAGTGGAGGAAGTTCCCTCCTAGCTTACCGTCATCCTGAGGGGTGCCTGGAGGGTTGCTAATGCCACTTATGTTGTTAGGAGAATTCTAACGATCCATTCATGTGGTGTGGCTCCATGCCGCCCATGCCTCCCCTCTTTTTATTTCGTTTTAAGAGTGCTTTATGTATTCTAAATATACATCCCTTGTCAGATATGGGATTTGCAGATGTATGCTCCATCACTGTGAGTTGTCTTCACTTTATTAATGATATCCTTTGGGGCACAAAAGTTTGCAATTCTGATGAAGTCTAACCTTTCTTTTTGTTGTTTGGGCTTTTGATGTCTTACTTAAGAAACCATTGCCTAATCCAAGATCACAAAGCTTCACTTCTGTATTTTCTTCTGTGTGTTTCATAGTTTTAGCTCTTAAATGTAGGCCTTTGATCCATTTTGAGTCCATTTTTGTATATGCTCTGAGGTAGGTCCAACTTCATTCTTTTGCCTGTGGATGGATACCCAGGTGTCCCAGCTCCACTAGTTGAAAAAACTGTTTTTTCCCTATCATTGTTTTGGCACTCTTGTCACAAAAAACAAACAAACAAACAAACAATGGAATGTAAGTGTGAAGGTTTATTTCTGGAATCTCAGTTCTATTCCATTGATCTGTATATCTGTCCTTTTGCCAGCACCACACTGTCTTGATTACTGTAGCTTTGTAGTAAGTTTTAAAATCAGGAAGGGTGAGTTCCAGTTCTGTGTGTTTTTCCAGATTGTTTAGCTGTTCTGGACATGCAGCAGATTCTTCAGATGCATGATTGCTTGGTCACTTGCTTTCTGGTTGATGGACTGGTGAACCTGTGAGAGCCTGGCTGGCTTGCATCGTTAGCTAAAAAAGTCCTCTCCCACTCTCTGCCTCCCTTCACAAGGCATTTGGCCAGTAGCGATCTGGGTTGTTCTGGCCAAGCCGTCGTAGTTCAGGACAAAGTGATAAAAGAGGAGACTTGGTGGGGTACATCTGGCCCCTCAAGCAGATTTAAATCCAGCTAATTCTCTCCCCTCCCACATTCAGCTTCTTTCTCCTTCCTTCTTCATCTGGCGGAGTCAGTATTTGGACAGCTCTCATTTTCTCTGGATCCACTTATAGCCAAATTACACCAACACTTCCCTGTGCCTCTGCCATGCCCATCACTCTCCTGCCACTTCCTAAGCACGATTCATGACAAAATGGTACAGAATGGGGGACATATGTCCTGTCAGGTGGGGCAAGTGCAGCAGGCCTTCCTGGCGGCATCATGAATAAAAGTGATAAAGCCAAGTGTGACTTCCTCATCTCCGTGGGCTGTTTCTCCATGGCCTCTCTGCAGGGAAGGGGCAGCTTCTGGGCTGAGGCAGACTGAGCTCACTGCCGCCACTTCTCCCCGTACAAACTTGGATCTGTTCCCCATGACCATAGCTTCCTCATTGGTTAAATAAGGATACCTCCCTGCTCATGTGGGAGCAGTAAGGGTTAGAAAGGCCAGTGTTCATTATTATCGCCAGTAACCCTAGTTAACCATTTAGTGAATGCTTTCTTTGTGGCAGTCCCTGTGTTAGTGTTCAAACTGAATAAAGATGGGGGCAAAAGAAAAGATTTCATGACTTCTGGAGCCCCACACAAGCTCAGCAGATGTGCTGAGCATCTGCTGTGTGTTTAATCCTATGCTGGTCTTCATGTATATTTTCATTTCTTTGAGGTATGAGGTATGAAAGATGCTAATTAATTGTACCACCTCCCCATACAGATCTTAAACCATCTGAGAACTACACAGAGGAGTCAGGTAGAGATAAAAATAGAGATTATATTGTAGGTAAAGGCTGGACCAACACATGTCCAAGACCTACAGCCAAAAGACACATTTGCTTGCTTCTTCTCTCCCATCCCCGTCTTCTTTTTCCGTTGCCTGGGTTAAATCCTGGTTCCAGGGAGCAGAGGCACCAAGGGGCAGGGGTCCTGGGGGGTTGATTTGGGGATGGTGACATCAGTCTTGGGGCTGCTTCCATGATTCTAAGCTCTGCTGGGTGGGCTCCAGGTAGTAATACTGGCTCTGCTTCGGGGTCACCAGCCCTGCTTATCTCACTGGGAAGACCTATATGTCTGGAATGTTGGTGCTAATTCTCCAAATCTGTGCTCTGCAGGCACCATGAAACATTTTGCCCATTCTGACTATTTATATCTACTTAAAGTACTGTGACTATATACAAGTAGCTTAATCTGAGCCCAGGGTTCCTCACCTGTGAAGTAGGGATGGCAATACCCAACCCATAAGATGTCAAAGGAATGAACAGAATATACTTGGTTAGGGCCTGGCACATAATAGGCCTGGGGGGCGGAGGGGGGCATCCTACTTGGCCCAGTTCAGTACCCTGAGAACTCAAGCTTTCAATCCAGACTCTGAGCCTTCTCCCTGTGTGCTGAGCAGGTCTCTGTGGGGGCCAGCAGTCAGGGCCAGATCTATGTGCTTGAGTTCGAGTTGGGGATTAGGGACCGATGAGGCCTCAACAGAAGTGGGTCATCAAAAGGCCCTGGTGCATGGAGGGACCCAAAGAGGTTCATTTTGTGGAAGTATTGCAGTCCTGTGTCTCAGACCTCCTCCAGGTTGGGAGTGGGAGGCCTCGGGTTGTTAGCGGAAGTGTCAACACCCTGCGCCTCTCTTCAAACCCATATTTAGGACTGTCTAAGGCAAAATCATAAAGTAAGCAATGGTTTCCCCAAGGCACCTGCTTCCTCTTTCTGCACCCCATTCTACTCTTTCCACACCCTTTTCCAGCCAGCGAGAAAGACGACGGTCTGAAAAACAAATTCGAAGACAGAGGGCAGCAAAATACGAGTCAAATCCAGTTTGCCACCTGCTATTGTACAGCCGATGAACTACAAGTGGTCATTATGTTTGTAAATGGTTGGAAAAAAATCAAAAGAAGAATATTTTATGACATGTGAAAACTCTATGAAATTCAAATTTTATTGGAACATAAATAAAGTTTCCATATTGTCCATGGCTGCTTTCAGCACAGTTGAGGGGTTGTGACAGAGACTTGAAGACCCCCAGGGTCTAAAATATTTATTCTCTGACCTTTTAAGAAAAAGTTTGCTGATGCCCTGCTCTAAAATGGTAAGAGGTTTAGGTGTCATGTGGCCATCGGGATTTGCCTTCAGAGGGAGGGGCAAACCAGTGAAACTCAGGCATTGTGGCAGGCCTGCAGAGGAGACACTGGGTCTTTCCTGAGATCCTTCCAGTTACACTAGATGGGCTGACGGGAGCTAAATGTCTCATCTGCAGGTGGGCTTGCTTCTGACCACACAGGGATGGGGGGCATGAAATGGTGCTGTTTGGGCCTCTGACTCCTTCCAGCAGAATGAAATGAATTAATAACCTCTGAGGAGCCTATCCCAGCAGCCTCCCTGCAGGCTGGTGGCCATGATTTGACCTGAGCACCTTCCCATTGCCAGAGTCCTGCAGAGCCTCCCTGGGCTGGCCCTGAGCAGCACATTCACCGCTTGCCTCTCTCTCGTTTCCACAGAATTTGCCTTCTGCCAGGTGGACGCTTCAATTGCACTGCCTCTGGCCCTGGCTGTGCTGTGTGACCTGCTGCAGCAGTGGGACCAGCTGGCCCCTGGACTCCCAGTCCTGCTGGGATGGCTGCTGGGAGAGGGTGATGATTTCGTGGTCCGCATGGAAAGCATGCATCAGGTAATCCTAGGGTCTCAGGGCAGTGGCGGTGGAATCAGATTGGTGGCCTGAACCCACTAGATGCAGCTCATCAGGCTTACGTAGGCTTCACATGCCCACTGAAAGTGTCCTTTGGATGCTCACATACAGATCAATAACCAATTAGGAAAGTCTCCAAATGACCACAGCAGCCTGCTAGATGTTGCTGGGGGTTGCTGGGGCAGCTCTCAAGCTGACTTTTGGGGTTCCAGTGGGGTTCCAGTCTTCAGATCACCAGGGGAGAGGACTTTGAAAGAGCCTCCTAGGTTTCTGAAGCTGGTGGGCATTCCCTACCCCCTACACTCTGACGGCCCAGCTAAAACCAGCAGCCATGGCTGCTCCACACCCAGGACACCCCTTGATTGCCTGGCCCTAGTGGCCAAGGGAGCTGGCATCCTGAACTCCACAGGAAGGTAGTGATCAGGAAGACAGTTCTTGGCAATCTGCCACCCCCAGGGCACTGCACAGACAGCAGACTGAAACACAACCCCAGTCTTCATGGGAAAAAAGGCTGTTTGTATAGCCTGGAACTTCAGCCTGAGGGACAGGCTTCAGGTTTCCCACACATTTAGAGGCTCAGAAGGCGTTCCTAGGGAACACAAGCAGGAAGTGACATCCTTGCATGCCCCCTTGGCCTTGCTAAAGCTCCATGAGACTTCCCGGAAAAAAGCTAATACATTCATCTGGAGCCCCAATTTTTGCAACAGTTGCCCAGGGGACACCTCTACATCTCCTGGTCTGGAGGCCAGCAAGGATTACAATTGCCATCCCACAGTACTATATATATTTTAAAAGCTGCTGCCAAAGGGTCTGTCTTCCAATCAGCCTGAAAGCAGGTGCTAAATGAGATTCCTCCCCTTGGAACACTGACCGGTCTTGGCACACCCTCAACAATGGGGACATAATAAGAATAAATCAGGCGGTTTAGACAATCAGAAAGGTTCAAGAGACAACCAAGAACTAGAGCAAGGTTGAAGGAGAAGTTTCATCACCCACAAGGCCACCCACTCCTTCAAGACTGAGAGAGGTGGCTGCTTTGCCTAATACATAGAAGCAAACAGAGTCAAGCAAAATGAGGAAACAGAAATATGTTCCAAATGGAGGAAAAGACAAAACCTCAGAAAAGACCTTAATGATGTGAAGATAAGGAATCTACCTGGTAAAGAATTCAAAGTAATGGCATAAAGAAGCTCACTGGGGTGTCTGTGTGCCTCAGCTGGTTAAGCATCTGCCTTCAGCTCAGGTCATGATCTCAGGGTCCTGGTATCGAGTCCCACATCAGGCTCCCTGCTCAGGGCAGAGTCTGCTTCTCCCTCTCACTCTCCCTTTGTGCTCTCCCCCTCTTTCTCTCTCTCAAATAAATAGATAAAAATCTTAAAAAAAAAAAAAAGCAGCAGCTCACTGAGCTTGGGAGAAGAAAGGATGAACACAGTGAGAGCTTCAACAAGGAGAAAATACAAGAAAATGCCAAATAGAAGGCACAGAGCCAAAGAATACAATAGCTGACTGAGAAACACTAGAAGGGCTCAACAGCAGACTAGATGAAACAGAAGAATGGATCAGCGAGCTGGAAGACAAAGCAATGGAGCTCATCCAGACAGAGCAGCAAAAAGGAAAGCAAATTTTAAAAATGAAGATAACTTAAGAGAGCTATGGGACAGCATCAGGTGGAATGACATTCACACCATAGGGGTCTGAGAAGGAGAAGAGAGAAAGGGACAGAAAACTAATTTGAAGAAACAATGGCTGAAAACTTCCCTAGCTGGAAAAGGAAACAGAAATCCAGGCCCAGGGAAGCCCAAAGAATTCCAAAGAAGATGAACCTGAAGAGATCTACACCAAGACACATCATAGTTAAAATGTCAGAAATTAAAGAGAGAATCTTAAAAGCAGCAAGAGAAAAACAAATTATTACATACAAGGGAAACCCCGTAAAGTTATCGGCAGATTTCTCAGCAGTAATTTTGCCCGCCAGAAGGGAGGGGCATGACATACTCAAAACCTTCCAACCAAGAATACTGTACCTGGCAAGGTTATCATTCAGAACGGAAGGAGAGATAAAGAGTTCCCCAGACAAGCAAAAACTAAAGGAGTTCGTCACCACTAACCGGGGCTTAGAAATGTTAAAGGACTCCTTTAAGTTGAAAAGAAATGGCACTAATTAAGATGGGATGAAAGGAACCCTGACTGCTGCCCCATCCAACACCCCTGACCAACAGGAAGTAGCTGTGATCAGTTGTCACCCTTCTTCCTAACAGGAGTTAGGGTTACCTCTTCAGAGAGGGGAATGATGAAGGATAGCTGGAAGGCAGGCAGGCAGGGACAAGCCACACACACACACATACACCCGCCCCCCCCCTCAGCCCTAAGGAAATCACCCTTAAAAGGATTTTACACCACCCTGGAAGGAACCCTCTACCTTTTCCCATATGATAGATAGGTGACAAAAATCTGATTGGATGACAGGTGCAGGGAGGGTTAATCAGATTAAAACAGCCTGCCAACAAGCCCATAAAAACCCCTAGACTTAGAAACTCCAGTGGCAACTCCCTCAGGTCCCCTCCCTCCTTGGGAGCTTTGTACTATCTCTTTGCTATCGCTCAATAAACCTTGCTTTGCTGCCCACCAAAAAAAAAAAAAAAAACAAGCAAGAAATGGCACTAATTAATAAGAAGAAAACATATGAAAGTAAAAATCCCACTGGAAAAGGTAAGTATATAGTAAAGGTAGTAGATTAATCACTTCCAAAGCTACTTTGAAGGTTAAAAGAAAAAATGAACTAAAACTACAATAATTAAGGGAAACATAAAAAGATGTAAAATGTGACAACAAAAACATAAAATGGAGTAAAAATGTAGAGCTCTGGGATATGTTCAAATTTAAGTTGCTATCAACTTAAAATAGACTGTTATAGACATAGGATGACATGTGAACCTCACAGCAAATACAAAGAATATGTATGTATGTAATATGTATGTAAATACACAATGAAAATGAGAAAGGAATCTAAACACTAAAGAAAGTCATCGAACCACAAGAGAAGAAGAAAGGAACATACAGGACCTACAAAACAGCCAGCAAATAGTTAACAAAAGGTCAATAAGCAGATACCTATCAATAATTACTTTAAATGTAAATAGACTAATTCTCCAATCAAAAGACATAAGAGTGGCTAAATGGATTTAAAAAAAAAAAAAAGATACATCTGTATACTGCCTGCAAGAGACTTCATAAGTAAGGACACATGCAGCCCAAAAGTGAAGGGATGGAGAATTACATCCCATGCGGCTGGAAATAAAAAGAAAGCTGGTGGGGCGCCTGGGTGGCTCAGTTGGTTAAGCGACTGCCTTCGGCTCAGGTCATGATCCTGGAGTCCCGGGATCGAGTCCCGCATCGGGCTCCCTGCTCGGCAGGGAGTCTGCTTCTCCCTCTGACCCTCTTCCCTTTCATGGTCTCTATCTCTCATTCTCTCTCTCTCAAATAAATAAATAAGATCTTTAAAAAAAAAGAAAGCTGGTATAGCGATACTCATATCAGACAAAATAGACTTTAGAAGGAAGACTGTAATAAAAGAGAAAGAGGGCCACCATATTAATAAAAGAGTCAATCCAGCAAGAATATATAACATTTATAAATATAATACAGCCAAAATAGGAGCACCAAAATATATAGAGCAAATAATAACAGACCTAAAGGGAGAAATTACGAGTAATGCAATAATAGTAGGGGACTTTAACATCCCACTTACATCAGGGGGTAGGTCATCCAAACAAAATTAACAAGGAAATGTTGGCCTTAAACAATACATTAGACCACATAGACTTTAATAGGTATATATAGAACATCCCATCCAAAGCAGGAGAATACACGTTCTTCTCAAATGCACATGGAACATTCTACCGGATAGATCACATGTTAGGCCACAAAACAAGTCTCAATAAATACAAGATAAAAATCATGTCAAGCGTCTTTTCTGACCACAATAGTATAAAACTAGAAATCAATTACAAGAAGAAAACTGGAAAAACTACAAATACATGGAAATTAAACAACATGTTAACAATTGTTGGGTCATAGAAGAAATCAAAGGAGAAATTAAAACACCTAGAAACAAATGAAAACAGAAACACAATATAACAAAATCTATGGGATGTAGAAAAAGGGGTTCTAAGAGGAAAGTTCAAGTGATAAATGCCTATTATCAAGACACAAGAGGGGCGCCTGGGTGGCTCAGTCATTAAGCATCTGCCTTTGGCTCAGGTCATGATCCCAGGGTCTTGGGATCGAGTGCCACATCAGGCTCCCTGCTCCGCGGGAAGCCTGCTTCTCCCTCTCCCACTCCCCCTGCTTGTGTTCCCTCTCTCGCTGTCTTTCTCTCTGTGTCAAATAAATAAATAAATAAAATCTTAAAAAAAAAAAAAGAAAGAAACAAGAAAGATCTCAAATAAACAACCTAACTTTACACCTTAAGGGACCAGAAAAAGAAGAACAAACAAAACCCAAAATTAGGAGGAGGAAGGAAATAATAAAGATAAGAGTGGAAATAAATGAAATAGAGACTAAAAAGACAATAGAAAACATCAATGAAACTAAAAGCTGGTTCTTTGAAAAGATAAACAAAATAGACAAACCTTTAGCTAGACTGACCAAGAAAAAGAGAGGGCTCAAATAAAAATCAGAAAGGAAAGAGGAGAGGTTACAACTGATACCACAGAAATACAAAGGATCATAAGAGACTGTTGTGAATTGGATGTGCTAAGGATGTGTCTTGGGGCAGGTGGAAGGGAGATGAGAGGTATATGTAGGAAGACAGGGAAGCACTTCCCTCTCACTCTGTACTTCTGAAACAAACATTTCACTAAATAATACTTTATAATACATGGTGCTGATGTTTCTGAACCATTGTGTCTTATTATTTTTAACTGGTTGCAATCCATATTGATTTCATGACCTCTTTTTTTTTTTAAGATTTTATTTATTTG